CTGCCTCTGCCTCCCGAGTGCTGGGATTAAAGGCGTGCGCCACCACCGCCCGGCATGTAGAACTCTTTCTACGACCTCTTTCTAAATTAACTCACAGCCACTCTCTCACTTGGCCAACAACATTGCAAGTGACAAAGGAAGGATAGGGCTCATTGTGGCCCATTTGACAATTGGGAAACTGAGTCACCGAGAGGGGAGAGACTTGCCAACATTCAGATATCCATGTTTTGGAACCCCTGAGTCTTTGTGGGATGCTAGGGCAGGCTGGGAAAAAGAGTGTTGCCCGTCGAGGCCCCTGAGGCACTGCCAGGGCAGAAGACTCACTGGGATATCTGGGCGATGTCGTAGCCACTGTCCAGGGCCACCTTCCCTGCTGACACAGCTAAGCTGAGCAGGAGTTTCTCTGTCCCTGGTTGGACTTCCTTTGTGAATTCGGCCTTCAGTTCCTGGGTGGGAGGCAAGCAGAGAGGCAAAAGGGGTCAGGTGCACGAGAGAGGCTTACGAGGGGAGACCAAGGTCCTGAGGATCTTGCTGACCTTCCCCACCTGCCGTGAGCACTGACCTGCCTGGCGTGCAGGCAGAGTGAGTGGTCTGCCACCGCCCCATCCTCAGGGCACCCCGTGCTTTTTGCTAAAATGTGATTGGAGAGCTGGGGGAATAGCGTTGTCTGTAAAGTACGAGGAGCTGAGTTTGACCCCCAGAACCCACATGAAAAGAATAAAAAACTAGGCGGAGTGGTACTTGCTTGTAACCCTCACACTGGGGAAGTGGAGGCAGGCAGATCCCTGGTGTTCACTGACCAGCCAGCCTACTCTATTTGGTAGTCCCAGGCCAACGAGAGCCCTTATCTCAAAAGAGCAAAACATGGTGGATAGTGCTTGATGACACCTGAGTTTGGCCTCCACACACATTTTGCATATATGTGCGTGCACCCCTACACATGCACATTCACCTCCCTACACACACACACACACACACACACACACACACACACAAATATGGTTGGGACCAATATTATCCTCAAAACCTATGCACACCCATCAGCACTTAATGGCTCCTTGTCCTGGAGGAGCCACCGTATGGTGGGTGATGAGTTTGGAAGATATGTGCCTCTCAGTCTGCATTTTGTCTTACATGACATTACAAGGTCAAAGGGATTCACCATGGTACTGCAGATGATTTGTTTACACCATCTCTCAGCCTCAGAAAACTGGGGATATTTGGCCCTCAGATTGAGCTGTGTACACAGTGCATGTTGGGTAGCTGGTGGCATCAGTCTGGGATTGAACATTAGACAACGGATACCTCTCTAGGTGGTAGATAGGTAGGGGCTCCCTGCTCAGCTATGGGCTCTGGCCTCTTAGGACTCCGCCCCCACCTCCCACAGTGGTTCTAACATGTCTCTCTTCCTTGCTGAAGCCCCTCTGCTCATCCCTGGGAAGTTCTTGGGTGAAGAGAGCTTCACTGTCCCACATGCTGATGCTCTCCACACCTCTGCCCTATGCCAAGCACCTTGATCAGGGTGGTGAGATGTTGCTTGTCTCTTGGGCCAGGGTAGAGCCAGGCGAGATCCAGTCCATCAAAGCCATGGGCCCGCAGAAATGGGGCAACCGATTTGACGAAAGCCCTGCGTCTCTGAGAGTTGGAGGCAATCCTGGAAAATCTAGAACAAAACCACCACAGAACGAGCTTGGCACTCCTATGCCGGGGACCCTGTCCCTACAGTGGGATTTCCAGGGCTTGGGAGCAGGGGGCCTGAAGTGCCAGATCTAGGAGAGCCTTCTGGGACAACACCCAATCTGGGAACTTAGAACGGTAGGTATGTGCTTAGGGGCCAGACATTCCTAGTGTCCCAGACTGGCCTGCCATTTTGAGCAGGTTGCAACCTGACTCACACTTCCCTGTCTGTAAAATGGGGTAGTAACTGTAACACCTGGCACGGCTGTGTCAGCAGGGAAGGGTCCTGGTGGTCTTCCAGCCCCCTCACTGCCCTGGTTCTGATCTGATGACTCCAAGGCCCCTTTAACAGTCTCAACCCTCTCCATCCCCATTGCTTCCTTCCCGCCCCTCCCAGCCTTCTTGGCCATAACTTGGAAGTTGTCCTCATGCCTGAGATGTAGTAAGAGGAGTTTTTACAAGAGCTAGGTGTTGGGATTCTGCAGCACTCCAGCTGCATGACCGTGAGGAGTCTTGCGTCTTGCGTCATCAGTGCGCGTTGGTGATTGCGTGCTACTCGAGCTGTGTGGTAATCTGCGCATGTGTGGTGTAGCTCTGTAAGCCCGCCTGCGCATGTGCATGTGCACAAGAATCCTTAAAGAGCCGGACGCAGACCCCACCCCCTCTCTATTCTGTTCTCTTCCAACACCATCTTTCTCTCTCTCTCTGCTCTCTACACGTGCCTCTCCCCCAGGCCTGGGTCTTCTGCCACCCCCCACTTCCTAATAAAGCTCTGATACTTGTTTTTGTTGTGGCTCATGACCATTCTGCACTGTAACCAGCGCCACTTTGTCGTTTTTTAAAAACCATCACTAGGCAAACTGGCACATGCCTACAATCCCAGCACTTAGGGATTGAGGCAGGAGAATTGTCCAAAGTTTGAGGGTAGCCTGGACTACATAGTAAGTTTGAGGCAAGCCTGGCAACTTACAAATAAATAAATAAATAAATAAATAAATAAATAAATAAATAAATAAGCATTGCAGAAAACAAATAGACGTTTTGTGATTTCTTTTCTTTTCTTTCTCTCTTTTTTGCTAAGTCCCTCTCTGTCTCTGGCCCAGGTTTTTCAAATACATATAAGGCAACCAGCTCTGAGGCCTCTGTGCCCTGCTTGTCTGGAGCAGCCATAACCCTCAACATCAAGCCTGGCCTCTGCTCCGTCCTGCCCCAGCAAGGAGTCCTACCTCTGTGAGCCAAAGTTCCATCCTCCGACGGACAGGAGGGTCTTCAGGTTGGGGTTTCTGTGGGGCAGGGTAGTGGGGAGAGGAGGGGGCACAGTCAAGCCGTGGTGACCCCGCGGACCCCGCGTCTGCAGCCCACAGAAGAGTTCTTGCTTGCAGGGAGGAAGGGTTAGGAGCCTGCCCCTGACATTGGTGTCAGCAGACATGGGCTCCATGGTGGTGACTCGGGGGTTCCCACAGTGGGCAATGAGAGGTAAAAGGGGCTCTCAAGTGGCACCATGCTCCACAGAGCTGCTGTGGGGATGAGAGACGCTCCTTCCCTGAGCTCTCAGTGATGCTTCCTGTCCCCTTATCCCCATCCCAACACACCACCCACCCAGGACATCCTCCCTCAGGAGCCAAGGCCCCCTGGCAACCCTTCCCCAGGAGGATCCTTGGATCACTGCTCTCCTGGACCAAGATGTCCTGCTCTAGGACCAGCCCAGCCACCTGTCCTCTCCTCTCCCAGTCAGCTTGTGACCCCACCTGGTTTTAAGTGCATTCAGCGTGCCATAGAGTGTCACATCATTCCACTCCCATGTGTCGATCTCATTGTTGCTGATGTTGGCAAAGCTGTAGATGATGTGGGTGCAGAGGAAGTGGTCGATGGCATCCGGGAAGCAGCTCCCATCGCCTTCCCGATACTGGGACCAGTTGGTGTAGTAGCAGACCAGCTTGTATGAAGAGCCTGAAGGAGAAATCTGGGTTGGGACTGAGCACCAATGTGGTGTGGAGGTGTGGGCCAGGGTGTGGGGACAGAGTGCTTGAGCAAAATGAAAAAAATCTTAAAGAAAAGGAGCTGGCCCAGCCTCCCCTGCCTGATGCAAGCTGAGAATGGTGTGACTCAGTCCAAGAACTGAGGACTTCCTGGAGGCAGTGGCTTCCAAAAAGGACAGAGGCCTGGCTGTGCCATCCAGTGTCAGAAGATGCCCTGCCTGCAGGGCCTGCCCTACAGTGGGGTCTTTATTAAAGAGTAACTTTGTGGGTCTCTTCTCTGGGAGTGATCCTACCTGGTAACCTGTCCAGAATGGCAGTCCCCAAGCTGGGACTCATTATCACAGGGGCTAGAAAGTTCTTCCTTTGTTCTAATTCGAATTCCTCTTGCTGTAAATGAAATCCCTTTTAGCCACTTGGCCATGGAAGGAGAACAGTGGGCCTCACTCAGGCCTGTGGTTCCTCATAGCTGTCCCCTAGGGCAGCCTGTAGAAGTCTTCACTGGATCTGAGCCCTTTAAAGTTTGTTGTTTTGAAAAAGTTGGAATAAATGGAAGAGTGGAGACTGAAACATACATATACATATTCCCATCACCTTGGCTTAACAAGTATTCCCAAACCCTGTGGGCCGTAGAAGAACCCCGAGGAGCATGCTTTTGTGCTAAGACCTCCTTCAGGAGGGGCTGGGAGGTGGGTACTCACAGCACTGGAGCAGCATCAGGACCGCAAAGCCTGTAGGGAAATCCAGGGTCAGACCTGGTGGCAGGCGAGGGGCAGCTGCTCTTCCTCCTGCCCCCTCCCCAGGCAGGGGGAGGCCTTACCACCCGCTGCCCTCCTCCTTTCCTAACTCCCTGACAAGCTTGGCTCTCTCCACCTGCCCCCATCCCCTTCCTCCTGCAGTAGGAGGCTGGCCCCTGTGCAGTAGGCTCTTCGGGCAGTCTGAGCCCTACAGCCTGAAAATCCACAGTCCCACCTGACCCAGCCCAGAGACCTGCCAGCGCCACCCTCACACCCATCCTGGCTTCAGCAGAGCTGGGCATGGTGGCCTCTCCTGGTGCCCAGCTTTCTAAACAGGGTCTCTTCCCCAGGCTTCACACTTCCTTCTTATATCCCACGCCACTCCCCCACACCCCCAAACAAATCTCCTGACAGGAACTGAGCCCGTGTGTAAACCCAATTGTTGGCCAGTGGAGGCGGACAGCTACTAGCGGAGGATTGGGAAACCCTGGAGTTTTGAAAGCCTGGGGCCAGGTCTTACAGGACCTGACGGCTGAAGGGTCATGGGGGTGATGATCGAGGGCCTCCCTGGGTGTGACAGTCACATGTCCAAAACCTTCCTGCCGTCTCTTCTCTCCCCACCACTTGCTTCCCTGGTAGTTCCTGTCTGTGGCTCCAGCCCTCCACCCGGGCCCTCCGCCAGGCTGAAGCAGGCACAATTGGGTTATGTAAGCCATGGCACCCAAACAAGGCCACCATTATGTTGCCTGGCCTCCCCTCAGATTTTCTCTGGTTCCTGGCTGTGTGCATACTTGGCTGGAGTCTAGGTAAGGACCTGAGAGCCTCGGGGGCTGGGGAGGGCTCCCAAAGCGCCCCTTTTAGCATTTGCTGATTATTGAATCTGGGAAATTGGGACAGGAGAGAGAAATTCCTGAGAAGGCTCTGGGCCCGAAGGCTGCCTCCCCCTGATTTGAACGCCAGGGCGGAAGGGCGAGAAAGGCTCTGGGGTAAGTCGAAGACTGTGGTGGAGAGACGCAGGGTAAACACGGGGGCAGTAATGGCCAGTGGTGGGTTCTCCCGGGAGCGGCCGCTGCAGGCGCTGAGAACAGTATTGCCGATCCTCTCGGTGATGCTTCTGAAACCCAAACTCAATCAGGCATCTTCACTCTGAATCCTACAGTGGCTTCCAGGGCTTAATGAGAGAAGAGCAGGGTGAAGCAAGGGCTCTGCCCCGCGTGGCCCTGGCTTCCGCCCTGCGTGGCCCGGCTTTCTGGCCCGCGTGGTCCTGGCTTTCCATCCTGCGTGGCCCGGCTTTCTGGCCCGCGTGGTCCTGGCTTTCCATCCTGCGTGGCCCTGGCTTCCACCCTCTGCACTTACAAAAGGCATTTCATTTTCCACTGTTGTTTTTCCAAGACAAGAGTCAAGATGTCGGGGCTGGAGAGATGGCCCAGTGGTTAAAAGCACTGGCTGCTCTTCCAGAGGACCCAGGTTCAATTCCCAGCACCCACATGGCATGGCATAATTGCATGTGACGCCAGTTTCAAGTGGATCTGAGACCTTCACGCAGACACACATTCAGGAAAAACATGAATGCACATGAAATAAAAAATTAAAAAAAAAAAAAGAGTCAAGATGAAGCTCAGGCTGGCCTCAAACTTAGAGCCCTCCTGCTTTAGTCTCCTGAGTGCTGGTGTACACTGCCATGTTCACCTAAACAACAACAGCCACAACAAACAAAGAAAAAAAAAAAAACCCCACAAAACCCAGACCCTGATGGCTGCACAAAAACAGAGCAAAAAGCCCAGCCAGAGCAAAGCAAACAAAGATACTTCTCTGTGAGCTCTGGTCTCTGTTTATGGACATTTGTTGTTGTTGTTGTTGTTGTTGTTGTTGTTGTTGTTGGGACAAAGATCCAGGATAGTCCCATCCTTAGCAGATCATATATAACATACAACTAGTAGATAGTGAAAAGTTCAGGACTGGGGTGGGGGGCAGAATGGATTAGAGAGAGGCTTCCCAATCAAGCCCTCGTTTTTTTATAGCTCCACTAGGCAGTGATGACGTCACCCCTCGGCTTTCTCAGATCCTCTGGCTCTGCCCGAGTAGAAACCCTTGGTAGGCAAGCAGTCCTTCCAGTGCTGGCCTTCAGCCGCCTGGGGGAGGGGGGGGGCTCCTCCGCCTTAGACAGCAGAGAAGCCAGCAGAGAAGCCGAGGTGGCAGCAATTGGGAAAAGCAGCAGGTGGAACCTTCTAGACGCCAGGACAGGGCCTCTACAGGTGCTACAGCCCTTGTGCTGACCCAGGAAATATGGGTTCCTTAGCCTTTGGCAGCAGCAGCAGCGGCCAGCACCACACCTTCCTGGCAGGTATGGGCACCAAGGTTCCTCAGCCACGGACAGCAGCTAGTGTTTCACTCCCTGGTCTTGGGGCGCTGAGACCCTGGACACTTTGTAGCTCTTTGGAGCTCTTCCAGGGACCAGAGCTTGCAGCATCTTCTCGTCCTTTCTCTGGGTCTCGCCTGCTCTCCATCTCCCAGCCCTCCATCTCCCCTATCTCCACCATCGCCCTGCGCTGCCCTGGCCACTCTCTCACACTATTTAACCATCTTTTCTCCAGCTGTCAGGGAGTCAGCCGCTGGCTGATTTTCTTGTTGCCTCTTCTTCTGTTAAGCAGCAAACTGCCTTCCCACCTCTTGGGGTTGCCTGCTGCTGCCGCCGCCCCTGGGCTGCCCCGTTTCTGCAGCCGCCCCTGGGCTGCCCCGTTTCTGCCGCCGCCCCTGGGCTGCCCCGTTCCTGCTGCCCTCCCTCGGCTGCCCCGTTCCTGCCGCCCCTGGGCTGCCCCGTTTCTGCAGCCGCCCCTGGGCTGCCCCGTTCCTGCCGCCCTCCCTCGGCTGCCCCGTTCCTGCCGCCCTCCCTCGGCCGCCCCGTTCCTGCCGCCCTCCCTCGGCTGCCCCGTTCCTGCCGCCCTCCCTCGGCTGCCCCGTTCCTGCTGCCCTCCCTCGGCTGCCCCGTTCCTGCTGCCCTCCCTCGGCTGCCCCGTTCCTGCCGCCCCTGGGCTGCCCCGTTTCTGCAGCCGCCCCTGGGCTGCCCCTTTTCTGCTGCCCTCCCTCGGCTTCCCCGTTCCTGCCGCCCTGCTGTCTTCGCTGCGTTTTTTTCTTGTACCACCAGCTCAGCCCAGACTACTAAAAGTAGACAAGAAAAGAACGTTCAAAGGAAGGCTTTATAGGGCCTGAAGTCACAACAGTGAGAGACAGTACAGCAGGATGCCCCCAGCCAACTCCTGAACAGCCACACATAAGCAGAGACCTCTGTTTGGACCAATCATAGCACACCTCACAGGCGACGGGAATTTGAGGACTCACTAAAAACATTAATCCTTCAGCTAGGCCAGGAGGGGACATGCTTGAAGAGGTGGAGAGGGTTGATGGGTCATCTCGAGTTTACTAAGGCAAAAAGGTCTGATGCAAACTGTTTGAAACTGTCCTGGCTGACACGGGGCCTCCAGGAGTCCAAACAATCAACTGGGGTCACTGTGCACTTTCATCAAGGCGCCCATGAAGGATCCAGAATGGCTGGTGCTAGCAGAGGGGTAGACTAGCTTTCTTATTCGTTTGATTGTATACGATTTCACAGTGTGGTCCTGGCTGTCCTGGAACTTACTATGTGGACCAGCCTGGCCTTGAACTCACGGAGACCCTCTTGCCTTTGCCTCAGGAGAGCTGGGATTAAAGTACTACCACACTCCTCCTGTCTGTCTGTCTGTCTTTAATATCTTTGCTTATTTACGGGAGAATTAGCATTAGGAGGAGTACTTACAATAAGGAATTAATCCCTAACACAAAAAGTGGTTTTAAGATTATTAAAGGTGCTTTAACAGTGCTTAACATTTGCCCAACACCCCAGGGAGAGGAAAGCCTCCCCCCATCTGCCTTAGATGTTACCCAGAATAGATTCTCAGCCTTCCCTTGAGGACCCTCTCAATGCCCCTCACCCCCACCCCAAATCTTCTAGCCCTTTTCTGTAAATAACTACACAAGAAGGCTGGTCCTGAATTAGACTCTTGAGTGGCAAAGTTCACTACAGGTTTCTTTAAGGTGACAGGCTTCTTTTGAACCAAAGATGATTGACAGCAATGGTAGCCACTGAGGTGTGTCTCCTGTTTGTTTGAGGCACTGTGAGGAAGACTTCCTTCCATTTCTGATGAAGACAGTGCATAGGATGTGAAGAAAATGCCGCCTGTTTTCATCTTTTCCTTTGTTAGAAGTCCTCTCATGGGCTTGTATTGCTGTGAGCCTTCTAGTCCTGTGAGTCCTTAAACTCAGTGTATTAATGCATGTGTTCCATTTTCACTTACTTACTCAGCACTTACTTACTCAGGGTCCATGGCTTAACACCTCCTCGTTCATCTCACACCCAGTTCCGTTCAGTAAACTCTTTCCAGTACCTTCTTTCAGAACTTTATGCTTATCCTGTCTCCCACCACAGGGCCTTTGCACATGCCATATGGAATAACCATGAAAGGCTGGAGATTTTATGATATGCTCAGCAGCCGCAGTCCACGGACTCTACACAGAGATTGTTCTAGTGTCCTTTTTATTGCTATGACAGGCATCGCTACTAAAGCAATATGGCGGCAGCAGCAGTGGGGGGTGGGGGGTGGGCGGGGGTGTATTTCAGCCTCCATCACTGAGGGAAGTCAGGACAGGAATTCCAGCAGGAACCTGAAACAAAATGGTAACGATGGAGGAATGCTGTTTGTTGACTCACCGGCCTGTGCTTGCTGGCTCTTTTACTGTAGACCAGAACCATCTTCCCAGAACTGGTGCTGCCCACAGAGGGCCAGGCGTGCCTAATCAATTAAGAGTTGGGATAATCCCCTACAGTCACACCCACAGGCCAACCTGCCCTGGGAAATCCCTCGAGGAGGCTCTCTTCTCAGGTAGGCTGTGTCAAGTTGGCATTTAAGACTAATTAGGACAAGGCTAATGTGCTTTTTTTTTTTTATCACCCAGGGACAGCAAGCAGCGTGAACTTCATGTTTGAGCGACTTCCACTGGGAACCCACGCCTGATGCGGTGGCAGCCTGGGGGTGCTGTGGTGTAGGCATGGGTTGCATCACCACAGAAGAAACCCTCATTTAAGGAACTTAGATCTTTTAGAAGTAGCAGTAAGCACGTGACCCTGGAGGGAGACATTCTCCTTCTGAAATGCCCCGCAAACACGCTGTGCACTGTAGCAGCAGCATCAGTGAAAGGGAGCCAGAAACCACTAGCCATGCGTGTGTGGAGAACGCGTGCACAGTGCAAAACGCACCCAGTGCTGCCCGTCTTTGGCTAGCCTATCCTCCTCATCCTCCTCAATTCTGTGGGCTCCTTGTCTTCAGGAAAGGCAGAAGCTGGAGGGAGGGTGGCACTCGCTGGGCCTGACTGCCTACTCTGTGTCGCTCTCCCCAGTCCCTGGCCTGGTTATAACTGCAGTATGTGTCTGGGGTTTTATGATGTCCAAGTCCCGAGCTAGACTGTGAAGGACATGGCCACTCACCCTCCTATGTTCCTACCTGAGTGCCGATGCCCAGAGGCTGCTTCGTGTAGCTTGTGTGGAACGGCCAGAGAAGCAAATGTGTGATCCCAAAAGGGCACGCCACTCTAAACTCAATTTTAAGTTTGAAACCGAGTGTTCTCACACTTTCATGCCGCTCATCAGTTCTGGACACCTGTGGATGGCTGGCTCAGGAGGTAGCACAAAAACCACAGTGTCCTGACTTTGTTTCCGCCATCAGATCTTTCTAGCCTCCAAGCTCCAGTGGTCATTATTCATTGGCTCATCCAATCAGTGCTTACTCAGAACGCGCTGGATACCTGGCATTGTGGTTGGTGGTAGAGACTGGGAACAGTCAGTGTCTGTTCTTGTGAAGTACAGAGGCTAGCAAAAGTGATGGACGCCCAAGGAAGAAAACAAATTACCTGCATTACATGTGTGACAAGTTGAATGAGGCAATCCTTCCTGAGGGTGGGAGACCTCATTAAGAGGGAATGGTGATCAGGGTTCCTGAGCAAATGGGATATATACTGAAGAGGGAAGGAACCATGTAGTGGAAGATTTCCTGTGTCCCGGATGGCAGTCGGGACAAATCTCTCCCACTCGCGTCCCCCAAGTAAATACACAGAGACTTACATTAATTATAACTGCATGGCCATGGCTCAAGCTTTTAGCTAGCTAGCTCTATATCTTAAATTAGCCCATAACGATTAATCTGTGTATCGCCACATGTTCTGTGGCTTTACCTACGTCTCATTACCTGTTGCTCCTTGGGCAGCTGGCTGGCGTCTCCCTCGCCTTCTTCCTGTCTCTCCCTTTGAATTTCCTGCCTGCTTCCAAGCTGCCTTGCCATAGGCCAACCGGCTTTATTTATCAAGCAATCAGAGAAACACATATTCGCAGCCTATAGAAAGACTTTCCCCCATCAGAATCAGGCAGAGGTATTGCCTTGACAAGAGGAAAAACCTACAGCCACGTCTAGCCATGTAGACCTGTGATCACAGCTTCTCAGGAGCTCAGAGCTAGCCTGGGCTATACCACAAGTTCAAGCCCAGCCTGAATAATGCAGAGAGAGCCTGTCTCAACATAAAAAGTTGAAAAGGGGGATGGGGATACAGCTTAGACGTAGTCACTTGTCCCAAACACGCAAGGTCAAATGAAAAGGAGGAAAGGGAGGAGGGGAGTTATATAATGCAGTAGGAGAAATGGCAAAACCCTAGGCGGGAACAGATTACTACATGGAGGGCAGGGCTGGAGGCAGACATGAGAGCCTGTGGGTGGACATGGCCACCTCTCAGATGACAAGTTCCTGGAAACCCTGGGTGGCCATTCAGGCAGAATTGCTGGGATCCTTCTTGCCTGGGGCAGTCATGGTGAATGGCTGAGGAGCGGGCAGTCCTTTTTCTCACAGGCGGGCCTTGTCCTCCAGGCGAGCCTCTGCTGGCAGGAGTGGAAACTGATGCCTGGCTGGGAACCGTATATACGCAGGTATGTATGGTCAAAGGCTCCAGCAGGGGAAATGATTACTAACGAAAATAAGAAAGGAACCACACTTCAGAAACACAGAGTGGTTAACTGCAGAGCCAGGCCAAGGAAGGGAAGGATGGCCCCACTGGTTCCGTGCCGGGCTCTGCACAGTGAATCTCGGCTTCCCGTGGCAGCCTAGAGAAAACAGGGTGAAGTTGGTTTGGCTGGAGAGGCACATTTATGGGAAATAGTGAAAGCTTAATAGTTTGGGGTCTGGAAGCAGCATCAGCTAGTGGGGTTATTTAGGGTTTTTCCTCAGCTGAGATTCTCTCCACCCACAAGGCTGAATGAAACAAAGCACGGGGTTTTTCCTTCTCGGGGTCACTTTTTGCCCCTGAGGTATGAACTGGGTTCTATACAATACTTCACAGTTTTCTGATTCAGAATCATTAAATTAATATTGCTTATTGGGCTATAATGTACCTCCATTGGCATAAGGGAGCTGTGGGCAGACACACACACTTTCTTCTTGTAGTGCCGGGAAAAGTAGACCCCACTGCTGAAGCTTTTCAGCGAGCTTTTGCCCTAGGCTCTGTAGGGCCCTGGAGCCTTGAATGGCTTCTGTGGGCAAAGTAATTATGAGGCATCTTTATTGGCACAATTTTCTCTAAGATATCCATATTTGTTAATATTCTTGGCCTGCTGGGAAATGAAATTATTTATAACCTGTGAAGCTGGGAATTTCTAGCTCATAAAGCCAAAAGAGCATTTTCTAGAAAAACCTCATGGGCGTCATTTCCACAGCCAGGGGTAGCTCCTCCCCCTCTCCTCCCCTCCCCTCTTCTCTTCCCCTCCGGCCGCGCTGGGGTTGACCCCAGGGCCCAGAAGCACTGTGCCACTGAACTAACCACTGACCCCACACCAGCTTTTGTTTCTTAGCAGTGAGCTTATTCTGTGGTGGGTCTGCCTTGTTGACCAAGCTTTAGCCACAAAACCTTTTCTGAGGCCCATCGTTCTGTATGTTTCCATAGATGTCAGTGTAGCATCTAGTTGTAGCGAAATAAAGAGCTGCGTGGTTAGAGAGAACTCAGCCTCCACATCTGATCACTCTTGATAGCCGATTTCTTTCCTGATCCTCCTGCATCACCCAGATGGTGTCTGGTCACCCTGTTGGTTTAGAGCTCATCCCCCCACCCCCTGCTATAGTGATGGGTCATCGTCGTCGTCATAGTCAACTTGACTGACTCTGGAATCACCTAGGAGACACACCTCTGGGCATGTCCGTGATGGTGTTTCCCCAGGACCTTAACTGCAGAGAGAAGACTCACTCTGAACACGCCTAGCACTATGGTGTGGACCGGGGTCCCAAAGTGCATAAAAAGGAGGGAAGAGTCTATAGCCACTCTACCCCAAGTCCTCTCAAGCTCATTTGATCTCAGAAGCAAAGCAGGGCTGGGCCTGGGTATACTGGGTGCTCACATTATGTTTTTAAATCTTTTTAAAAGATGTGTGTGTGTGTGTGTGTGTCTGTGTCTGTGTGTGTATGTGTATGTGTGTGTGTTTGTGTATGTGTGTCTGTGTTTGTGTGTGTGTAAGTATGTGTCTGTGTGTATGTGTGTGTGTATATGTATGTGTGTGTATGTGTATGTGTGTGTGTATGTGTATGTGTGTGTGTGTATGTGTATGTGTGTGTGTATGTGTGTGTGTATGTGTGTGTATGTGTGTGTGTATATGTGTGTGAGCGTGTGTGTATGTGTGTGTGTATGTGTGTGAGCGTGTGTATGTGTGTGTATGTGTGTGTGTATGTGTGTGTGTATGTGTGTGTGTGTGTGAGCGTGTGTGTATGTGTGTGTGAGCGTGTGTGTATGTGTGTGAGCATGTGTATTGTGTGTGTATGTGTGTATGTGTGTGTGTGTGTATTGTGTGTGTATGTGTGTATGTGTGTGTGAGCGTGTGTATTGTGTGTGTGTGAGCGTGTGTGTGTGTGTGTGTGTGTATATGTGTGTGTGTGTATGTGTGTGTGTGTGTGTGTGTGTGTGTGTGTGTGTGTGTGTGTATCCAGCTGAGTGCCAGCACTCCCTGCCCTCTGCTTCCTGGTCAGCCAAGATGGGGAGTCCCAACTGCACACTCCTGCCTGTCAGCAGCTCTACTATGTCTTCCCCACCATGATGGACAGCCCCCTCCTAAACTACACACAAAAACAAAACCCTTCTTTCCTTAGCTGCTTTCTGTCAGGTATTTATTCACACCAACCACCGAGCTCTCAGTCGCCACATGCCCATATGGTATGGCATTGAGTCCAGTCTCTCTCTGACCACAAGAGCCTATTGCCACGGTCCCTGTACCAAATAAAGGCTGGTCCCAAATAAAGCCTGCTTTGCCATACAAATGCCATTGGATTTTTTTCTTTAACACACATTTAATTAAATGAAATTTTTGGCATAGTCAATATCCAATTACATTACAGTAACAAATAATGGCAGACTCTTATTGAACCTATATAAATAACCTATGTAACCGTAAACATCAATTCCATTTAGACATCCATAATGATTAATTTGGTTACGTTTCCCCCTTGGATTTATAAGAATATCTGGCCATAAAAAGTGAGCAAACTTCCAAAGACTTGCTCTTTGGCCATTGTTATTGTTTCACAGACAGAGCCAATCAGTTAATGCCATTGAATTTACAGAACTGTTCTTTTTCAATTGTCCTGATGACATATTATCTTAGACTCTATATTAACAGCACTTCAAAAGCTGAGGCAGGAGCATCCTGAGTACAGGGAGGGTCTGAGGTTCATGGAGAGTTCAAGGCCCATCTGGCAAAAAAAAAAAAAAAAATGTATGTTAAGATCTTTTGTGGAATTATTATTTCCTTTTGAAAATTTAAAGTTCAGTTGGGACAAAATGCAAAGGTTGCTACAATGTGCTGCAAGTATAAAAAGGAAATTCTGTTTTGAAGATAGAACAAAAAATGTTAATAATTTTTAGATTGAAATTTTGTCGTGTGAATATATTGTATTAAGTAAAATATATTATTTAAGAAAAAAGAATACTGCATCTCAGTTTGTGTAGATATAACCTGGTAAAGGGATGTGAGAATGGATTAAACAGGAAGGAATCTACTTATGTCAACTAAAATAAAAAAAATGAAGCTGGGCATGGTGGCACACACTTTTAATCCCAGCACTTGGGAGGCAGAGGCAGGCAGAGCTCTGTGAGTTCCAGGCCAGCCTGGTCTACAGAGTGAAACCATATCTCAGATAAACAAATGAACAAATACTAATCATAATAAAGTCCATTCATTCATTCATTCATTCAGTCCTGGGCACTTCCTTTTCTTCTCTCACATTGGGCTAGGTGTCCAGCTCCTACAGTGCTAGGTGCCTTTTAATCTGTTTTCTGCTCAATTCTGTCCGTATAGCAGGAAATGGCCATAGATAATAGTGCCCCTAGAAACACAGCTGTGCTCCAGTCAAACTTCGTTGATAACTACTCAGGCTTGTCCTGAGAGCCGTGGCCTGCTGACCTCTGTTCGAGAATCTAAACCAAAATGACTGGAGAGGTTCTGGTTGGTCACTTGGTTCAGTCTGGCAGGTCCAGAGTTTGCGGAGGAGCCTGCCTTCATAGTCACGTGACTGATCCTGCAGGGTCAACAGTCAAGACTCCAGGTTTGATTTGGTTTTTCTATTTTGCTTTGTTGACCAAGAATTTCTTTGTGTAGCTCTGCTCCAACTCAAACTCAACTATTTTCCTGCCCTAGTCTCTCCAGTGATGGGATTACAAATAAATGCTCACTTACCGTGCCTAGCCAAGGTAGGTTCTTTACTAATGCTCTTTTATTATTTCTTCCTGACCCCAGCTTGTGGCTGGGACCTTTATAGATGTAGTGAAAGGGAGCTGCTGTCTGTGTATGGCAGGGTTAGACCGGTCTGGTTGAGCAACAGGAGTGAGTAGAGGAGAGAGACTCTCGGTGAGGTTTACCATGCAGCCTGTTCATGTCAGAGTGACCACAGCAACAACCATCCCAGCCAGAAAGTCAGAACTGGCTGTCAGTGTTTCTTAAACCTCCAGACAGATTTTTAAAAATAACACTTAGACATTATTTATTGAGTGAGTGGGGGCATGAGGCATGCACAGAGCATACGTGGGGGACAGAGGACAACTTGCAGAAGTTAGTTCTCACTTTCTTCCATGTAGGCTCTGTGGATCAAACTCAGATTGTCAGTGAGCTTTACCCCCTGAGCAATCTCCTCGGCCCCCATATTTCAAACTAAGTGAGTGTATTGACATTTTTTGTGTCAGTCTTTATATCTGGATGTCAGAATGTT